AGGTCTAGGTACGATTCACCTATATAGTTTCTAAATTTTAACAGAGCTGGGAAAATATATATTGAGAAAATTAGAATGATTTATTAATATATTGAGAATCTCAGAATGATTTACTGGATTAAAAATTGTAAAATATTGATATCAGTAAAAAAAATATTATTCGAAGATTGTTTTGAAATCATAAATTTTATGATTTTAAGTCATGATATTTTCTAGACAAAGAGACATGTTTTTTTTTATTTTTTATGTGTCTGACTCTCATCAGAATTCTAAAAGTAAAAAAAAAAAAAAACTCTCCTAAATATTATAGTGATGTATAACGTTACAACTAAAACCGAAAACATAAAAAACATACATAATATATTTCTAAATATTATAATTTTTTTGCGAGATTATTTTACTTACTTTCTTTTTAATTATAGAGAACAAATGGGAAATAATCCATACCTTGTTTTGAGCAAAAAATGCAAGTGAAGCAGGCTGGCTTGAATCACGTTTTATTTATAAAGACAAATCTTCTCTCACTCTTGGGGACACTTTCACATCTCATCCTCTCCACTCTCTCTCTCTCTCCTTTGGATTCTTCAGGTACTCTCTCTACCTCTCTTTTTCTCTCTGTCTCAGTCGCTTACTTATCTTTTTTTTCTGTCGTTAGTTAGATCTCTCAGAACTTGGTTCATAGTTGCTTCATACCACTAGTGAACTATGTGGGTTTTGAATTTCAACCATGTTAGTCTTCGAATCTCAAACAAAGTTTCAAACTTTGCTCAACAAGAGTTTTCGTTGTGGTTGAAAACAGACTTTGATGGCTTTGTAGAAAGACTAGTTGTATAGATCTAAAGATTAGAACCACTTTCTTCGTTTTCTTGTCCTTTCAGAACAGAACTTCATGTCTTTCTGTTCACTAGCTCATTGTTTCCATGGACTCCACACTAGATACTTCTTACAGATTGATTGTGTATGCTTATTATACTGTTTATGGATTCAAGAAATTAACTTTATAGTATTTTTGACATTCTGGCAGATTTAATTATGAGCATTTCTTGAGCCTTGTTGTTGAGTTTTACAGTGATGGATTTGAATCTCTCAAAGTTTGGTTGATTTTGAGCATTCTTTTTTATTTACTTACAGCGATTTGTTTTGATGCAGTGAGGAGAGGAAATGTCGGATCTTCAGACACCGCTTGTGAGGCCCAAGAGGAAGAAGACGTGGGTTGATTACTTTGTCAAGTTCCGATGGATCATTGTTATCTTCATCGTCCTTCCATTCTCAGCCACATTCTATTTCCTCATCTACCTCGGGGACATGTGGTCCGAGTCCAAGTCATATGAGAAACGCCAGAAGGAACACGACGAGAATGTCAAGAAAGTCATCAAAAGGCTTAAGAATAGGGATGCTGCCAAGGACGGGCTTGTCTGCACTGCTCGTAAGCCGTGGATCGCCGTGGGAATGAGGAACGTTGACTACAAGAGAGCCCGCCATTTCGAGGTTGACTTGGGCGAGTTCCGTAACATCCTTGAGATCAACAAGGAGAAGATGATTGCTAGAGTGGAGCCTCTTGTCAACATGGGACAGATTTCCCGTGCCACCGTTCCAATGAACCTGTCTCTCGCTGTTGTTGCTGAGCTTGACGACCTTACCGTTGGTGGACTCATCAATGGATATGGTATTGAAGGAAGCTCTCACATCCACGGTTTGTTTGCGGATACCGTTGAGGCTTACGAGATCGTTCTTGCGGGTGGGGAACTTGTCCGTGCCACAAAGGATAATGAGTATTCCGATCTTTTCTACGCAATCCCGTGGTCGCAAGGAACTCTTGGACTCCTTGTAGCTGCTGAGATCAAGCTTATTAAAATCAAGGAGTACATGAGACTCACTTACATACCAGTCAAGGGAGATCTTCAAGCCTTAGCTCAAGGTTACATTGATTCTTTCGCGCCCAAAGACGGTGACAAGTCGAAAATCCCGGATTTCGTGGAAGGCATGGTTTACAACCCGACGGAAGGAGTGATGATGGTTGGGACATACGCATCAAAAGAAGAGGCGAAGAAGAAAGGAAACAAAATCAACAATGTGGGATGGTGGTTCAAGCCGTGGTTCTACCAGCACGCGCAGACCGCTCTGAAAAAGGGACAGTTTGTTGAGTACATACCAACTCGTGAATACTACCACAGGCACACAAGGTGCTTGTACTGGGAAGGGAAGCTTATTCTTCCATTTGGTGATCAGTTCTGGTTTAGGTACCTCTTAGGTTGGTTGATGCCTCCAAAGGTCTCTCTTCTTAAGGCCACTCAAGGTGAAGCTATCAGGAACTATTACCATGATATGCATGTTATTCAGGACATGCTTGTTCCTCTTTACAAGGTTGGCGATGCCCTCGAATGGGTTCACCGCGAAATGGAGGTAAAACTAAAAAGCTCTTTTTCATGTTTGATCATCTTCTTCTTCTAGTTAAAGATGTTGTTATTAACAAAGTCATGAATTGTTTGTTCTCTTTCAGGTGTATCCAATTTGGCTTTGCCCACACAAACTCTACAAGCAGCCAATCAAAGGCCAGATCTACCCAGAGCCAGGCTTTGAGTACGAAAACAGACAAGGAGACACAGAAGATGGACAGATGTACACTGATGTTGGAGTCTACTACGCACCTGGACCTGTCCTAAGAGGTGAAGAGTTTGATGGATCAGAAGCTGTGCGTAAGATGGAGAAATGGCTGATTGAGAACCATGGATTCCAGCCTCAGTACGCGGTGTCTGAGCTCGACGAGAAGAGCTTCTGGAGAATGTTTAATGGTGAATTGTATGAGGAGTGCCGCAAGAAGTATAGAGCTGTTGGAACGTTCATGAGTGTTTACTACAAGTCGAAGAAAGGAAGAAAGACTGAGAAAGAAGTTAGAGAAGCCGAACAAGCTCATCTCGAAACTGCTTATGCCGAGGCAGATTAAGTAATAAGCCTTGGTTTGATGTAATGGCTTGGGATTATTATTGGTATTGCTAGTAGTGTCTGTTATGTTGTTTCCTAATTTCAGTTTTAGTGTCTTGAAGACTATTGTTGTTGTTGTTTGCTTCTTTGTTGTTGTTGTTGTTTGACTTATTATGGTTTGAGTGGATTTTAGAGTTTAAAACTTTTGGATTTGCTTATGAGATTTTGTTTGAAATACTCTTTGTACCATATTAGGGAGAGATGCATAGGCGATAAGCAAAGGATACGAAGGAAGGAGGGCTTTAGTTTGAATGTATTTTTTAAAATGTTTTGGTTCGGTTTGGACGTAAAAGACATTGACGAATCAAATGTTGGTTCGGCGGATTTGCATTTTATTTCAGTTAGTTTCTTACTTTTCTGAATTTTTTTTTGTTTAATAATATGGGCTAGTCCGAAGATTGGTAAAAGCCCAAAACGAAACAATTTTACAAAGCCACTAAAAAAAACCATTAAGGGTTCGACTGATTTTTTTTTTTTTTTCTGAACGCTTAAAGAGATTGGGCAAGCAAAGTTAGAGAGAACCCTAGCCGATTTTCTTCTTTTCAATTCGAGACAATGAAGACGATCTCACTCTCAACTGTGATGATATCACTCTCAACTGTGATGTGGAGCCTTATCAACGCGGCGTTTCTTTGAAAGGAAACACTTACTTTATTGCCAAGGAAAAAATAGTATACGAAGATGATGTAGAGTATCCAGTGCAGCCAAACTATTTACTCTGTTTTGATTTTACGGCGGAGAGCTTTGGACAGTTTCTTCCTCTGCCGTTTCAGCACCATGATGATTTCGATGCTGGAGCTCTCGCTTCTCTTGGGGACCAGAAACTCGCGGCCTTAAATCAGTGCGAGGATAGAACAGAGGTGGAACTTTGGGTTACAACTATGATTGAGCCCAATGCAGTGTCGTGGTACCCTTTCTTAAAAGTTGACATGGAACCACACTATGGTTCTCATTTTATGTTTAACTTTTACGGTGGCAGTTTCTTCATTGACGAGGAGAAGAAAGTCGCCGTGGTTATTCACTTTGACCCATCTGAAGCGACCCGCCATGAGGACGCAGCTTACATCATTGGTGATAATGGCTACGTTAAAAAAGTGCATCTTGGAGAAGCTGTGCCTCACATACCAGGAGCTCTCGACTTCAGCCACTTTCAGAATTGCTGCCCACTTGTGACTTCTTGCTCTTATGTTCCTAGTTTAGTGCAGATCAACCAAACTGCAGGATTCAAAAAGGAAAGAGGAGCAGAAGAGACGAACCAACAAGCACAAAGAAGAAGAAGACTCGCTATTAATTAAATTAATAAGCTTTTTTCCTTTCTTGCATCTCGTTTTGTTTTGTTTGTCTTGCTTTTTGCAATGTCCCTGTGAACAAGACCAATCAATTATCATTATTTTGTTTCTATTATTCTGTGTTATGCCCTTCATCTTAGAGGCTCTTACTTTACGATAATAAGGGTTTCATCTTGGTCGTCAAAGATCATCTCTTTTAAGTTCAAGAAGTTGAAAGGCATGGCATACCAACATGTTTGATGATGATTAGAGAAACCAGCGAGGTGACAATGCTCTAGCCAACATTGTTCTACTCCGAGATCGATTCTTATAATCCGTAAAATTAAATGCTCACAGGATTACTGCTTACCTTACTTGATTTGCAGGTTCTATTTTGTGTGTACTTTTTCTTTACCGGTCAAGCAAAGCAAACCGTCTAGCTCTTCAGGAGTTCTCATTACATCGACCAAAAAGGGTTTTGCAATTAGTGAAATGGTGCTAGTTTCAATTCTCTGCAACCTTTTATACCTGTCTGCCTTATAAAGATTAGTTCTTGGAATATCCATTGGATTCTTGAGTAGAAGTTACCTTCCCAAACGTGAAGTTAACTGAGAAGCCCACATTTCAATTGACCCTTATGACTAAGTAAGTAATGCCGCATGGTTACTCCCTCAAGTCAAGGTACCAGTACTATCAAAACAATAAATGCTATCACATTAACCTATTTTTGTTAATCTGATCTGTTTAGAAAATGACAAACCTCTCTGTCTATCATTATGTGGGATATGGCAAAGCTAATACTTTGAAATTTGTACCAGCTTATAATTAGAAACATCAAATCCACATAAAATTGCAGAAATCAGAAACTAAGTCTCAGTTTAACCAGTATACCAAGCAAATCTAATGTAATGATTGTACTAAAAAGTTCAAGTTGATGATATAAAACTTACTATCGATTCCACAATAACACTTCCCATCATACTCTACATCGATCTTACCTAAGTGTTGCTTTTCTTTAAGAGGAGAGACTAGAAATGATATGTGATATCCGCAGCTTTTGAATATTGATTACCAATCAAGTTCTGCAACAAAGTTAACTGCCTTCAGTCAGCAAGTAAGACGAGAACAAAAGTGTGTGTGATAAGTCCCTAATAATTGCCCTTTCCATATCTGTCAAAAAGTTTTGTAAAACAAGATACTACATCATTGTACTCAAGAACAACATGCCATGGAAAATATAAACCAGCAAGAAGAACATACCTAAAATTTTGTGGTAGATATCTCCAAGAAGGTTGTCTAACTCTCGTGTCTTCAGGGTATGGTAAAAGAATCGCTGAGTCTCTCCATCCATATTGGAAAACTAATCACAAGAGATATGTAGATTAAAACTTCTGTTTCATATAATGACATATATGCATAGTCCCCAAAGTATGGGGTTAAAGATTTTTAACACAAACAAACTGTACCGCAAATACAAATTCAGTAAGCCTATTAAGTGCAGTTTCATCAAGCTTTTCTCCAAAGATGCACATGAGGTACCCTGCAGAACAGAAAAACTATATATTCATTTACAGAAACGAAATAACTGTTATCAAAGTGTGAAGAAATACATGTGGTCGTGATTTGTTAGAGACACATCGTAGAGTGAAAGGCTATTGAGCAATCAAGAAGCATAGACACCATAGTTGAGCTGATAATTCCATAGACGCATCGTACATGAAGAACCCACTTTACCAAGCTTAATATAACTGAGGTACAGCAATATAAGTAAACTCTACTAGTAAACATTCCATTCTGTATCAAGTTGAAAAGTTATACCCATATTAATGAAGGTAAAATCTGAGCAATCTTCCTCCCAAACTTGTAGCACATGAAGCTGGCGTACACTACAGTCGTAGTAAGAAACTCCAACTCTGGGAAAAGAGTGTTAAAGTTAGATACTCATCCTTGTCAACTACTCCTATCGGAAATAGGATTGACTACGGATTCGAGCCATAGCACATGGTTTCTAAAAATACATAACCAGAGACAGAGATCTAGTTTTAATTATATAATTTCTTTGATCTTCTTAATATAAGACCAACTCCCTCTGATCTTCACCAATTTAGATTCTTCACTGAAAAGTAAAACTGATAGAATGTTGAAGAAATCGGGCAGGATATGCAAAAACATGGACTTACTTGCTGCCAATGCGTTGGAGGAGCCTCGGGAGAGGTGGACAACACAAGTGCATCACTCGGATTAGTCCGCTTCTTCTGATTTACTTCTCCAGAAGGACTTATCGACGAAGAACCACTAGCAACACTAGTTTCACTAGTAGTGTTGGCAGGCGAAGAGGCTGGTCCGCTGAATTCAACGTCGAACCGAAATGCAAAACCCTGCATACAACAAGAAAAGAAAAAGCCTCAACACAGAAAAATGAAGCAATGCTAACTTCGCTCTAAGATGCACATAATACAAGAATAGTTGATAAAGAGAAAGTGATATACCTCTCATCATTGAGTTGAATTTATGTCTTGCAGTGACGGAGTCAAGCTCTTGGATTTTTTTAGTTTGACAGTCTATATGTTTAACCTGCATTTCAAATGCTATTACATAAATAAAGTGGGTGCGCTGGTCTTTGAATATCTACTTCGTAACAAAAAGGATAAATCTTCACTCTGTATGCACATTTAACATAGCTGAGATCTCAAAGGGCTAAGGATCCTTTAAAAAAAAGAGTGAGTAGAATCCTTTTGCCCAAACTAAAATTTCACAAAACAACTTCTATTTTGATAGGGAACAAAACCAAATGAAAAAACACGTGCAGAGCTAAAGCACCAGATTCGCAATAAATTCTCTCTTAGTTGGATCAGCTTCACAGGACCAAATATATCAGAAACATTTGCAGGAATTTCTTCAAGGGTGGTCAAGCCATGAAGTAATGCAGAGACTTAAATTTTAGACTAAAACTAAATGATATAAAGGAAGCATGGGTCAACTTAACTGTGAACATTTAAAGCGTAGCACTTAGGACAATAAGACAAACAGTCATCATACCCTAAACATACCCCCACCAAAGGGAACATGCAACACATTCTATCGAAGAAAATCCTTCTATATTCCAAGTTTCAAATTTAACCTATGAAAACATGTTTTGGTGAAGTTTTAAAATCCCCCAAGTTTATGATGTAAGAATGGCCAGTCTAATCAGTTCACGAATTTAGGTGGAAAATAGAAGCTAAGGGGGGAGAAGATCAAGAGCAATCCTAATGTTCAAATTACTGGATTTGTTTTTTTTTTTAATACCTGGACAGCTATATCACTTGCATCTACAGCATATATGAAGTTTTGTAAGAAAACATGTAACCCCCGTGGTCTATGGAATATACAGACACATAGAAACAGCCTTAATATCCTTGGTATAAAAGCTACATTATTCACAATGTTTCATATCTTTTGTGAACAAGAGGTATTGAAATCAACATCAATACATAAGTTGTGTACACAGATAACAAACTCATACCCGTTTTGCTCCCGCTTGAGAACAGAAGATTGAAAGGATGCATGTTCCACAACCTGTTACAAGCAATCAATGCAGCAATAGGTTTTTCAAACCAAATAATAAACTACCACGTCATAAAGACAGGGGAAGCAAAAAAGTAAACAACAGTCCCAATTCAAATCTTCTTCAATATCATTTGTGAAGATAAAGGAGCATGGTTCGGAAACTACAGCAACGAGAGTATTACCTTGCCTTGGATTAAGCTCTGATGCTGCATTATGGCTTCCCCAAAAAGTTTCCATCCTTTGCCCGATCCTATATCAACCAAGGACAATCCGCAAAGAAGTGAGAAATCCCAGGGAAGAGAAAAATATGAACGATTTCAAAAGGTAAGACACAAAACATCCTAAATTGATGATATATCAGAACAAATTTTCAGCCAAAATTCTGGACGTTTTCTTTTTGAGCAATTTCGAACTGGAAAAGCCAATTTGGTTCAAGAACAAGAAATTATATACATCAAATTAACATACCCAGTAATGATTTTTCAAAACATCAATTGAAGCAAGTTCGAAGATTGACTAGACAATCCGATACTCCCCAAAACCAAAGAGAAATTCAACCCTAAATATGATAAGGCATAAGGGAGAAGAAGAAGCGAAAGAGAGTACCTTGATAATCTCTTCGTGAATCCCAACGTGAGCATATGAATGAAAATAGGCAACGTCTTAGTCAGTACAAGGAGTAGGAGAAGACTCCGAAGTCTCCAATGACTTCTGCTCGCCAAGCTCGTCGGAAACCCTAGGCTCATTGGCTCCGTCGTCTCTAAGGTCACGAGCTCCGCCGCCTCTTGGCTCGGTCAAACGAGCTGAGACCACCGACTTGCTTGTCTTCAGAAACCTTCTCTTCTCTTCTCTGACGCTTGACGACGAATGTTGTTGTAAGTAAAAAACTAGTTTCCAAAGGAGCATCGTTTTTACATTTTTTTTTTTAACACTAAGTACATTTTTAAAATTTTAACTAACTAAATCAAACCATTCAAAGAAATAAATAAATCGATTATTTTATTTAATTATATATATAATTTCTCTAAGCGGAATTGTATAACTCGGTTAATTTAAAAAGTCAACAGAATCAGATCATTTGTTAAATAAAAATTAATCAAAATTTATATCTACTGTAGTGATTATTCAACTTTTGATCCTCTTGTTATTATGTGTCGTTATAAAAGTAAAATAAAAAGCTTATTACATCCGATCCGCACCTTTCATTTTCTTTGTTATTATTTACTTCTTCTTTTTCACCTTTGCTTTGTTTTACAATGTAAATGACCTATTTTAAAATTTTACAGTTTAAATAACTAAATAGACAAAACAAAACAATAAGTATTATAATTTACCAAATCTCTTTTCTCTCCTCCGGGAAAACACTTTCGTGAGAGTAGAGTATGAAGATTTTTGTTTCATGTGCTCGAAAGAATGTTACAGTTTCTATTTTCTGTAACACTCTCCAAGCTGACCACTTTAGTAGCAATACATCCGCCGCATTATTCAAGAAAGCCATGGAAGAAGCCAAATCTTTAATTTGCCGAAAGTTTGATCCATCAACTACATTTTTTAAGTAAATATAAACTAACGTTTTCTAAACAAACGACTTCTTTCTCACGAATAGTTACTATCTCTAGCTCAAACCTTACTAAAGGTCTACGTTTAAGGGTCAATCTTTCAAATACATTTCTAGTCGTAAATTTTCCCAAGTCACCTTTTTCTAAAACAAAACCTTATGACATACGTAACGAAGATCATCTACGCAACACAAAGGTTCATGTGAGCAAGTATTAGTAAGACATTGCAAAAAAAAAAAAAAAAGAGAAAAGAAGGTTAAAACTTTAAGCGCATTTATCAATAAAAAAGAAACAAAAAGGTTAGAAGTTATCCATTGATCTTGTGAAAGAATAGGCAATTAGTGTCAAAACTTGCTAAATGGCCTCCTTATAAAAACAAGAAATGAGATAAAAAAAATTCACTTGTGCTATCTCAATTGATTCCCAGAATCACCATGTTCCTCACTCTCTCGCATTACAACTTCCACTACTTGCAATACTTGAAAACCCATTACAAAAAGTATGGTTCAAAATCCAGTTTAAGATTGTTGTTACTTAACGTTTGGATTTAGAAATGGAGGTGGGAACACTAAGCAATAATTACTTGGATCTGCATCGGTCAATGACTGTGATAACATATTTGTCTAGTGTCTAAGGCGTTGAAAAAGTTTCGGATACAAAGAAGGACAATACGGATTAAGGAAAAAATTTTAAAGACGCAAAAATATACTCAGAAAATTCACTAATTCAAGGATCTATACACGATCCAAAAACCTCTGAAGACAAATTTCTTAGCCCCTTGAGCATTATATTTTCTTTACAAGAAACCCACAACCTTAATGTCTAAAAATTAATACAAGCCTAAGTTCCATTCTATGGATCAATATAAATCCTAATGGAAATTGCCATGTTTCATTTTATCGGTTAGTATTGTATTATTGGTGTGTCGTACGTTAAAACAAAACACATATTAGATAAAAATAATGTTGAACTTTTATGGGCGGTTAAGAAATTGCTAGAGTTGCGATAATTTTATCGGTTATTATTGTATTATTGGTGTGTCGTACGTTTATTGCTAGCTTTGGATGCCTAAATCGTGAAAGCAGTTGGAAAGTGCCGAAAACCGAAAAACAGTTGTGTTTTAATGTCTTTTTTTTAAATAACTCTTAAAACTTTAAGCGCATTTATCAATAAAAAAGAAACAAAAAGGTTAGAAGTTATCCATTGATCTTGTGAAAGAATAGGCAAATAGTATCAAAACTTGCTAAATGACCTCCTTATAAAACAGAAATGAGATAAAAAATCACTTGTGCTATCTCAATAGATTCCCAGTTGTGCTGGGTCTGGGCCTTAACAAAGTTGATCCAGTTACAAAAGAAGCAAATCGGGAAAACAATCGGAAAACGGGAAAAAAGCTCCGACCCTGTTGTATCACCGGAAGCAGATTGTCGCAGCACTAATTCCGGCGGGATTCAAGCTCCACGGCTTTGCGAAGGCACCGAAGGATTAGAACCAACAACAGAAGAACCCGATTTCCGTCGTCGATCCTTTTCCGACGAGCCACCATACCCACTACGGAACTCCCAGAATGCACAACATCCAACATCCGGCATCGACGTTCTCAGATCCCGACCAAGCAACCTGAGAAGCTCAGACCAAACCCCTCTCTCCCATTTCCGAAAATCCCCAATCTTCCCCGAGCAGAACCCAATCAAACCGGTCCGGTGGAAACAGATCGCGGAAGAAACAAATAGCTGACGGCTCACTCAAGCCCACCTGAATCCTGAATCCGCGACCGCCATCTTAGATCCGCAAAGATCTACAGTTAACCACGCCGACGAACAACGCTACCCACCTCTCTCCCATCGGCTTCCGCCGTAGCCACCGCGCTAGATGAGCGGTTGAGCCGCGAAATGACTCCAAGCACCTCACCGGCGTCCTCAACCGAGAGGCCCTGCTACGAAGCTTCTCTTCCGTCAAACCAGAACCATAGCTACGCCGGCCTAATTATATTTGTAAACAGAATCGTTTTAAAAGGGCTAAGGATCCTTTAAAAATAGGCAAAAGCCCATGAGCCCATCTTGGCTTTGTTCCCAAATTAGGTTTTCGTAAAATAAAAGAAAGATAACATCTTTCATATCCACCCACACACCTTCGTCTTCTTCTCCTCTCGAACAGATCTGAAAAATAATGCCGTGTTCTAAACTTTCGAATTTGGCACTCTCTTTCGATTCCGATGGGCTGCGTCCTCCAGAAACGCCGTTCAGCCGCTGCGTTATAGTCGTCCGTCGATGTTCAGGCCAATGGAGCCGATCATTTTCTCTATTCGCGGAGAGTCATCGTTCATCGTCGATGTCACCGTAAGTAATTTGTTTTTACTTTTTCTTTTTTTACCCCACAGATAAGTTTGGGTGCACTGTATCTACACTAGGTTGTTCCTATGGGATTTTTGCCCATTTCAAATTTTTTCACATCCGAAAGATTTTCCCTCTTCTCTTTAAATATCTCCCTCTCTTCTCCTAAAAACTTTCTAAACTTTCTCATTTTAATCCATCTGAATTCTCTCCAGCAGATTCTAATTTCTTCCTATACTCCTCTCAACAATGGCGGCACCAAATTTTAGATGCGTCTCTAACAAATCACGACCACATGTATTTCTTCGCACTTTGATAACAGTTATTTTGTTTCTGTAAATGAATATATAGTTTTTAAATGAATATTGGTAATCAATATTCAAAAGCTGCGGATATCACATATCATTTATAGTCTCTCCTCTTAAAGAAAAGCAACACTTGTTCGCGTTCCTACTAACTAATTAGCTATTTATGAGAAATGACTTATTCATTCTTCTTGGTTTTTCAAGCATTTTATCGTTGGCTGGTGTATCCCATCAGAATAACTACGTAAGGCCTGTCCTGACAATAGAATCATTGCTTGTAATTCGAAAATGGAAGGTGAAGTTGACTCTGTCAGCTGCACTTATCTCTTGTTGTTGCATTTATAAATAAACTCCTTACGGAAAATTATATCTGTAAAAAATCAGTACTGGGTGGGCAGGCATATATTGCAGGAAAATGG